TAATTATTTGAGGTTATAGGCCGAATAGGTGTTAATTCGAATGAGGTCGAACATAACCTTTAATTATTTGAGGTTATAGGCCGAATAGGTGTTAATTCGAATGAGGTCGAATGTAACCTTTAATTAATTGATGTCGTGGGCCGAAAAGGTGTTAATTCGAACGAGGTTGAGTGTAACCCTTAATTAATCGAGGTCGTGGGCCGAAAAGGTGTTAATTCGAACGAGGTCGAGTGTAACCCTTAATTAATCGAGGTCGTGGGCCGAAAAAGTGTTAATTCGAACGAGGTCGAGTATAACCCTTAATTAATCGAGGTCGTGGGCCGAAAATGTGTTAATTCGAACGAGGACAAATATAACCCTTACTTAATTGAGGTCGTGGGCCGAAAAGGTGTTAATTCGAACACGGTCGAATGTAACCCTTACTTTATTGAGGTTGTGGGCTGAATAGGTGTTAATTCGAACGAGGTCGAGTGTAACATTTAATTAATTGAGGTCGTGGGCCGAATAGGTGTTAATTCGAACGAGGTTGAATGTAACCTTTAATTATTTGAGGTCGTGGGCCGAATAAGTGTTAATTCGAACAAGGTCAAATGTAACCTTTAATTAATTGAGGCCATTGGCCGAAAAGGTGTTACTTCGAACGAGATCGAATATAACCCTTAATTATTTGAGGCCATGGGCCGAAAAGTTGTTAACTCGAACGAGGTCGACGTGGGCCGAAAAAGTATTAATTCGAACGAGGTCGAATGTAACCTTTACTTGGGAAGAGCAGGGATAAACTTCATATGCTTGTATTTTATTTATATTCTTGAAGAGATTTACATATTTTTCGGGCGCTGGCTGGTAGTTCAGTCCCAGTCCCAGTCTATCTAGTCCCTTCATTGGTCGAACTGGAAAAATAGTGAGAGATCGAGCAATGAACTAGTCGTCCAGTGCCCTCGTCTGTGCGCACCTCAATCCTAAAGTATCCCCATCCTCGCCTCATTAAAAACCTCCTCGAGAAAACCCAATTGGGACAAAACTCGAGTGAGGGAAAAAGAGTGCGACTTTGGGGACCTCGTCCTTTAAAAGTTGAAGTACTTAAGGTGTGTAATGTTTTGGCTGTTTGGTAGTCGCTTTCCTTCCATTGTTTCTAGTGTGAATGACCTTTTTCTTGTCGCTGCCGTGATTTTGTAAAGGTCATCCCAGTTTGTTCCTAGTTTGACTTCCCATGAATCTTTGCTTGTTTGTGTTTTAGCTTTCAACACGTAGTCCCCCACTTTAAGTGGCCTGATCTTTGCTCTTTTGTTATAGTAGTGTTCTGCTTGCTGCTTTTGGGCGACCATTCTCACATAGGCCATATCTCTTCGTTCCTCGACTTTATCGAGCTCCTGCCATCTACCGTCATCATTCTGGGGTCCGCTTTCACGGAAGTTTCTTAGGAGAGGAATATGTGATTTCCAAAGGATAGAGTTATTCTATATGACATTGGGCTCTCCGACCTCGAATGGTATTACTGCATCAGTCCCATAGACTAACGAGTATGGCATTTCCCCTGTGCTCGTTTTTGGCGTTGTTTGGTAGGCCCAGAGTACTTCCTGTAATATCTCCGGCCATAGTCCCTTGGCGTCTTCGAGCTTATTCTTCATGATGTTCAGTACTGACTTGTTGGAGGATTCCTCCTGCCCGTTACCCATGGGATGGTAAGGCGTAGACAGTATTCTTTTGATGTGCCATTTTTCGAAAAAGTCGACGGCCTTCTTTCCTGCAAATTGAGGTCCGTTGTCGTAACTGATTTATTAGGGGAGACCACGGCATATGATGTTCTTCCATATGAAGGCGATTACTTCATGTTCGCGTATTTGGGCTAATGCCCCTGCTTCCACCCATTTTGAGAAATAGTTAGTTAAAACTAAGAATAATCGGGCGTTGCCTCGTCCGACCGGGAGGGGGCCAACGATATCCATTCCCCATTTGATGAATGGCCAAGGGGAATGTTCGCCTGCTTGGTGGAACATTGGGGCGTACTTCTGGCATTGCTCACATTTTTTTACGAAATTTGCGGCCTCCTTTTTCATGGTGGGCCAATAGTATCTTGCTCGTATGAGGTACCTGACCAAAGTTCGATTTCCGGAATGAGCTCCACAGTGGTCTTCGTGCATTTTTTCAAGGACGTGTCGCGTCTTATTTGGGACCAAGCATTTCTCCAGGGGGCCGCCATATGTCCTTTTGTATATGTCATTGTGAACGAGGTTGTACCTGACCATTTGTATTCGCAGTTTCTTGGCTTTGTTTGGTCACTAGGGAGTGCGTCGTCCTGCAAATATTTACTAATACGGTTGCTCCAGTCCCAAGTTAGGTTTATAGTTCTTACCTCTATTTGGTCTAATGACGAGTTGAGGAGGTGGACCATATTTTATTTTTCGGTTATGATATTTTTGGTAGCTGCCGCTAATTTGGCGAGGCCGTCCGCCTTGATATTCTGTGCTCGGGGAATCTGGTCGAGTTGACATTCGTCGAACTCAGGTAGGAGTTTGCAGATTTTGGTCTGGTATTTTTGTAACCTTTGTTCTTTGATTTGGAAAGTCCCTGTGACTTGGTTGACCACGAGTTGAGAATCACAACGCAGCCTTAGTCTTTTAGCCCTGTATTTGAGTGCTAGTCTTAATCCTGCAATTACGGCCTCATACTCGGCCTCGTTGTTAGTCATGTCCGGGCATCTTATGGACTGGCGAATCATTTCGCCTATTGGGACCGCGAGTACGAGTCTCAGCCTTGACCCCGACGCGTTAGATGCACTGTCAGTGTATAGGACCCATAGGTCGTGTATTTGGGAAGGAGCATGGAAGGCTTCCTTTTCGACTTTGGGCAGCATGTGCGCACTGAAGTTGGCGACGAAGTCGGCGAGGACCTGAGACTTTATCGTCGTTCGCGGTCGATATGTAATATCATGCTCGCTTAGTTCAATGGCCCATTTGGCCAATCTGCCCGAAACTTCAGGTTTGTGTAAAATGCTTCTTAAGGGGAAAGTCGTGACAACCGAGACGGGATGGCATTGGAAATACAATCTAAGCTTTCGTGAAGCTACAATTAAGGCCAGGGCTAGTTTTTCAAGATGGGGGTACCTCGTCTCGGCGTCGACCACTGTTTTGCTAATGTAATATATGGGAGATTGCGTACCTTTATTTTCTTGGACTAAGACTGCACTCACAGCTACTTCGGACACAACGATATAGATGAGAAGATGATGTCCTAGTTCCGGTTTTGAGAGCAACGACGATGAGTATAGGTACACCTTTAGCTCCTTCAGTGCTTGGACGCACTCATGGGTCCATCGGAGGCTGTTCTTCTCTTTAAGTACGCCGAAGAACTTGTGGCACCTATCATAGGATCGCGAGATGAACCTTGACAGAGCGACTATTTGGCCTGTTAGATTCTATACTTGATTTTTGGTAATCAAGTGCTTTGGTATACCCTCAATGGCCTTGATTTGGTCAGGATTGACCTCGATACCCCATTGTGACACTAGGAAACCCAAGAATTTCCCTGAGGCCATGCCGAATGCACATTTCTCGAGGTTCAATTTCATGCCGTACTGCTTGAGTATGCTGAACGCTTCTCTTAAATGGTCGATGTGATCTTCTTTTCTTTTGGACTTGATTAGCATGTCGTCGATGTATACCTCCATCGTCTTTCCGAGTTATTCTTTGAACATTTTCGTCACCAACCTTTGGTAAGTTGCCCCCGCATTTTTCAATCCGAAAGGCATGGCCCTGTAGCAGTACGTCCTTTGGTGGGTGATGAATGTGGTCTTTTATTGATCCTCTTCCTCCATAAGGATCTGGTTGTAGCCCGAGTAGACATCCAAGAAACTTAGCAACTCGTGCCTGGCTGTCGCGATGATGAGCTGATCGATGTGGGGAAATGAGAATGAGTCCTTGGGGCACGCTTTGTTTAGGTCGGTGAAGTCTACACACATCCACCACTTACTGTTCTTATTTTTCACCATGACCATGTTGGCGACCCATTGGGGGTACTTCGACTCCCTGATGGAACCATTTTCTAATAGTTTTTCCACTTCTTCGCGCACCGCGTTATGGATTGCGGGGTTGAACTTACGTCGAACCTGCCTTATCGGGGGGTAGAGTGGGTCGACGTTCAATATGTGTGTGGCAATCTACTTTGGGATACCTGGCATATCTATATGGCTAAAAGCAAACAAGTTCGCGTTAGCAATTAGAAATTTGTGAAACTTACCCGGATCTTGGAGTTTGCAGTCGATGTAAGCTTTCTTGATGTGGTCATTGACGTCTAGCTGAACGGGGTCGAGGTCCTCTATGGTCGATCCTGCAGCTTCGGCCACATCGGGATCTCTGATGACGTCCTTGATGTCATCGCTTACCGACCTCGACATTGTTGATTGCTATGCTTCCTTCTCTTTTTCTCTCATTTGTTAAGCGGTCGTGCAGTCTAGGGCGATGCGGTAGCACTCTTGGGATGTGCGTTGTTCCCCGCTTATGCTGAATATGCCTCATGGAGTTTGGGAATTTGATGACGTGGTACAAGCTGGAGGGTATGACCCTCATAATGTGTATCCACGGGTGCCCTATTATGGCGTTGTATGTTGTATCCTGGTCCATGATGTGGAATATAGTCTCCATACTGACGCCACCCGCCAGGACGGGGAGTGTGATCTCGCCAGATATTCGCTCGACTGCATTGTTAAATCCTGTTAGTGTGATGCAGCGTGGTTCTATCTTGTCCTCGAGTTTCATTTGTGTGAGTACTCGGGGATGGATAATACATGCGCCGCTCCCGTCATCTACCATAATCTGTCTTACGTCGGTATCTAAAATTCATAAAGTAATAACAAGAGCGTCATATTGAGGGAATGTCAAACCGTTGGTATCCGACTTATCGAAGATGATACTTTCTTTGAGTTCATCATACCGTTCATGGGTGATCGACCGTTTGAGCTTGTGGGTCGTGGTAAACTTCACGCTATTGATGGAAGCGTCGTCTCATCCGCCGATGATAATGTGGATGGTGCGGGCTGGCGAGGGCAGCTTCGGCGGCCCTTGATGCTGATCGCGTCCCATGGCAAAGTTGGTTCTTCCCCGATCGCTCAGCAATTCCTTGAGGTGTCCCTGTCGCAGCATGTTTACGACCTCCTGTCTTAGGGCGATGCAATCTTCGATTTTGTGTCCTCGCTCTTGATGGAACTCGTAGAGAGCGTCTGATTTTCTGGGATTAGGGTCCAACCTCATTTTCTGCGGCCACCTTATATTTGGTCCGAGCTTCTCCAAGACGTAGATGATCTCTGTAGGTGGCACGCAAAAATTGTGAGCGGATAATAAACAGGACATACCTCTTTCATTCAGGTGAGTTCCTGTTCTTGATCGGGGTGGGACTTCTTCATGGCGAGGTGAGGATATAGCGGTAGTCCTGACATATGGGAGATGTCGTTCCCAGTTCGGCCATGAGGTTGACGGATCTCTCCTCATATCACTTCTCCGATCTTTTCTGGATTCTGCTTGTACTGAGGTCAGTTGATGAGTTGGCCCATTGAGGTCGTCTTCGTCTGCTCGTACTTCGGCATAGTATGCATTATGTATTTCGTCCCAAGTTGTCGGGGGTATTTCACGAGCCGACTTAATAATTTTCTTGTCTCTCTCGGACCATTTCTGTTCAGCCCATTTTGAAAAACGGCTACTGCCATTCCTTCTGATACATTGGGCAGAGTCATTCTCACTCGGTTGAAACAGGCGAGGAAGTCCCTCAGTCCTTCTCTCGAGGATTGTTTGATGGCAAATATATCATTCATTCTTGCCTCGGCCTTTTTGTCCCCGGCATGGGCCGTCACGAACTTGTCAGCCATTTCTTCAAAGGTTTCGATGGAACATGCTGGCAGCTGCGAGTACCAGGTTAATGCACCTCCCGTGAGGGTTTCACCGAATTTCTTTAGCAGGATGGAGGATATTTGTTCTTTGGCAAGATCATTACCTTTCACGGCGGTGGCGTAATGGGTCACATGATCTTCGGGGTCGGCTATGCCATCGTATATTTTCAGATAAGGAGACATTTTAAAGGTCTTTAGTATGGCATGTGGTGCGGCGTTGTCACTGTACGACTGCTCGACGAACCGACCGACGTCTCTCTTCGAAAATAACGTAAGAGCGCCCGGTATTTTATCGACCATTTCTTTGTGCTCTCTCATTTGATCTCGAAGTGTCTTGTTCTCGTTTTTCATTTCTTCCATCATTTTCATAATGGTAGTGAGAGCGTCGTTGTCTGTATTATTAACAACACTGTGAGTAATACATGTCGTCGTGGGTGGAGGAGGTTGATTACGTTGCTCGCCCTCTGATGGTGCGACGTATGATCTCGCATTTACTGTGGCCACGTCCTGAACGGGCTTATGAAGGACGCTGGTCAATGTATCAGTTAGCCAAGCCTCAAGGAGCTTCTTTGTAAAAAGGTAATCTTTGTGTTTTTATAAGAGGGAAAGTCTCCTTCTCAAAAGTATTCTTATTAGAAAATGAATATTACATGCCCCTCTCATTGTCTATTCTTTCTATCTATATGAGGCCTTTTTCCTAGGAAACCCTAATAGTACAAAATGTAGGGAATATCCACTAAAATATTCCCTTTTAGTGCCATATCTCGACGAATTAGCCGTTACAATTCCTATCATTAACAGTCGATCTCGACCCCGACCCTTGCTGACAACTTGAATGCGACAACCGTCGATATCCTAACCACGACTCATGTCGGTACCTTGACCATTGACCTTGCTGCGTTTTGGGCGAGCTCGACTGATAACTTTCTTTAATGTCATATTATGCTAAATATTCTGAAGACGAATTTTGGCCTATGCAGAAAGCTTCAAAAAAAATTCATAAATGCTTGTCAAAACACAATTTCAACTTTCAGAAACCATTATTCATCTTATCTTTTAAAACTTATTTTTTCAAGTTTCAACCAACTCTATGTCTAAACACTAGCTAAAACATGTACAAGTGAGAAATTTCATCATAAATTAAGACAAGTATTCACTTTCATGTATCAAAAAATAACCTTACATAAATATATGTTTTAAAACTTACTGACCTTTTTGATTAAAATAGTAAACGAATTATTCCACATAACTTCGAAGAATACAAAATTCAAGCAAGGACCATCGTTATGTCTATAAAACTTTCTATGACAAAAAAATATAAATTAATGCAATAAAAATAAATACTCATGATTATAAAAATAAATGAATTAATATATAACACACATATATAGAGTCAGTTTGATTCGTAACTTCTGATTATCAATGTAGCGAAAGGAATGAGATTTTATGACAATATAGTGAAAGGAGTGAGATTGAAGAATGCCATTCATAAACGAACGCGCGAAGTACCGACAAATTACCTAATTATTTAAAGGCAGAATAGGTAAAGCCCCCCCCCTTAAACTTGACACTTTTTAATGAGCGTACACCTTAACTATACATGATTTTAATTACCCCCTACGCTTACTTTTTCGGATGTTATTACCCGTCTAACCTATTAAACCTTTCTATCGTGAATACACGCGCTATATACATTTAAATGCTTGTTGATGTGGCTGTACACGTTGGAATAATTCGGGTATCCAATTAGAATACCCGACCCGCCTTTAAAATTAATCCCTCAAATTTAACCCATCCCCTTTACCATCAGTTCATTTGGTTGATAACATAGAAAAACTAGGGTTTCTCACCACTTCACTCCAATCAATGACAGAGATGATTGTGAGTGCTTGAGCTTGATTTTGTGAGTCGATAGGGTTCTCCGTTGAGGTGTTGCTAAAAGTTACTGTGGAGGAGCTAAAAGTTACTGGGTTTCTTTAATTCTCGCCAAAATTTCTACTATTTTCACTTCGCATTTGAAGGTATGTGTGCCTCTTTCTGTTAGGGTTAAATCAGGGCTTTTATGTTGATTGTGATTTTTGCATGTATGCCGATTAGGGTTAAATCAGGGCTTTTATGTTGTTTGTAATTTTTTACTGTTTATTTGTAATCTTCTGTATATGTATGCCTTGAGAGTTATTTTTTTACTTTTTTTATTGCTGTGTAGAGTCCCATGGATACTAAGTATTTGAATTTAAGATGAAAAATTTGTGGGATATTGGTGAGTGAGGTATGACCTCTATATGTTGGGGGTAGGGTTGAACATGCGACTAATGTCGACTCTGGCCACTTGTCAATACCAGAGTTATCTGATTATACTAAGAATTTTGGGATTACAAAGTTAGGAAAAACTTATATTATGAGTGCTAAGGGTGGCAATTTGGTTGAATTAACAAAAGATATGGATTTATGGACCTTGCTATGTTATTAAACAATGGGGACACAATAGACATTTTTGTATCTTCTGACTCACAATTTGAGTAGGTGAATGCTATAGAGGGTAGCCAAATAAGCCACGCGGGTAAGCTTTTTAATGCATCTTCCAGCACACAACAAGACAATAGAGAATCTTTTATTCCCCTGTGGTCCTCCTTTAAATACTACTGCTACAAATCTTGATCTAGGGTTACCTACTCCTTTGAATACCACTCAAGAAGAGGATTCACCCATAGATTGGACTTCCTCTTCAGAGGAAGAAGAAATAGAAGAAAACTTACTATATGATGTTATTGTCTAACTTTGAAATGTATCTTTTGGTTTGAATGTTATCAACATGGTTTGCCTACAGCCAGAAAGGTTTATACTGGCCCTTTAATTGATTCTACCCATGTTACTGGTGATATTGGATATAAGCCTTCTAAAAGTTTGAAATGGAAAGGGAAGGAAGCTGTGACTCAAAGACAACTTCAAGTCCAAGCTGCAATGGCTAGAATCAAGACAAGGTCCCAATCCGCTAGAATACAAACAAGATCTAAGGTTATGGGGAAATCTCCCTCCAAGAAGACCACTTAAATTTCTCTACTGTTTGGATGTAGTATTTGATATACTAGACTTCTTTTTTGTTGAATTCGTGGGGTAACTGTTTTAGTTGAATTCATGAGGTGTCTGTTTTTTGTGGATACTGATGGTGGTACGCAACTTTATTTTGTGAACTTGTTTGTCATGTGTATGCCTAGCTGTATATGGACAGCGTAGTTTAACTCTATTATTTGATGTTAAATTCTGACTTTCTTTGTCAAATTACCGGCTATGTTGACAAAATATTGTGATTGTGATTGGTTATTTTTGTGGATACTAATGGTTGTTTTTATATAAATTGTGATTGGCATCAATTCCATATGTTGATAAAATGTTGACATAGTAGTGTCGAACAACATATCATATTGCTTAACTTCTATTACATACTACCGGATAACCATTAGTTGTACATGAGCAAAATCAGATTCCAAAGTAAACTGAAAAATAATAGAAACCTTAGCATTCTTTCCCTCTTCGATAGTTTGCTAGTCTTCTTCAATAACCCAAAAATAACAATGTTTGCTTGCTCCGAAAATGGAGGTTCATACCACTGAAAAAATCAACAAGAATTTGTTTTCGGATAAAGACTACATCCAAAGAATCGTCGTCCAGAATTTGTAGTAGTCCATGCAACTTTTAAAGGAGCTGGCTTGCCACATCTACAAAAAATATTCATCTTCTTTCTTCCAAGTAAAAAAATGGTTGTTTTTTGGGCAAAAAATAAGAGCCAAAATTTGGGGGATGAAATTTGGATGGACAAAGAATGTGAGAACAAAGAAAATGCTGAAGAATTAGAAAGAAGACAATAAATAAGGATGAGAATGGGGTTGTTACCGTTGGGGTCTTCATTTTTGGGGGAAAATGTATTTATTACCGTTAGGGATGGTTGTAGAATTGAGAAAGAAAAATATTCAACTGATATGGCAAAAAATATACTCCCCACGCGCACTCAGCCATTTGAACCAACTTTTACGGCTATATGGCAGGTTTGAGAGTAATAATATTCGAAAAAGTAAGCATAAAGATTAATTAAAATCACGTATAATTAAAGTATACGCTCATTCTTTATACGCTCGTTAAAAAGTGTCAATGTGTACGCTCAAGTTCTGCCTTATTTAAAATTGAAAACCAATACGCTAATGACTAGGCTTTACCGACCGACAGGAAGGGTAACTCCTGAAAGGGTTGATAAGTTGTCACGCCATTTTTTATGAGGAAATGGACCCCTCAACCACAGCCTCTAGTTTGAGAAATGCCATATAAGTACTCTGTAGTAGGAGTATTTTTTTTTTAGAAAATAATTATCTTTGAAAACAATAGAGTATATAATATTATTACACGAAGTTCTTTTCATACTTCGCCAGGAACGCAAGAAAGGAAAGAAGGAAGAAAGACTCAAAGCCATCATCTTTGAGTTTCCCTGATCAAATTTATTTGTCTCCTTTGGCCGTTGAGCTTCCAATTTCATGTTAGGGTTCTCTTTTTCCCCCCCTTCCGCACAGGATTTAAATCTGCAGTCCGAGAAAGATAAAATTTGATATCTTTATGTGTATATATTGACTACCACAAGAAGAAAAAAATGAAGTTCATTGTTAGATCCGCTTAGCTTCTGGCTTTCCTTCAAATTTCAGACAATACATAGGTTTAAACCTGCCGGCCTCTTTCAAGGTAAACTTTCTCAAGCTCCTTTCCCTACCCCCACTTTCATTTTCCTAAACTTGAAGATCATTTTCGCGAAAAATTATTACTATACATTATGATCTCCAGTCGATCTTCAAAATCTCTCTCTCTTTTTAGTTATTTATTTATCACTTCTGCTTGGTCTTTGACCTTTGGCAAATTCTTTGATAACGTGTCTGCCTATTTATAGTCTTCCAAGTCCCAACCATCAGAGATCTGGTTGTCTTCCGTGGTGATGCTCCTGCTCCTAAAGTTGCAAAACCGGTACTCAGTTCACTGTGGACAAGTCCTCCTGATCTCTTCCATCCATGGGCGAGTGGGTAATTGGAGCGGTTATCAACTTGTTTGGTAGCGTTGCCATTAACTTTGGAACCAACCTCCTTAAATTAGGTCATGATGAGGTACTTTCTACCCTTTATTTTACACAACTACCTGCCCTGTGCTTTGCTTAGTTTTCCCTTCACAGCTCTACTTTTGCCATTTTTTAATTTATGGTCGTATAGGTAGTCTTAACGTAGCCAAATGTGTCATTGCTTAACTTAGAAAAGAGGAAATTGATTAGCTCTAGGTCTAATTTTGGTCAAGTATGGTGTCCATGTCCACGACAAATTATAATTATTGGGGCCTCCACATTTTATCATATGCAAGACTTTTTTTTTGTTGATAGAAAGTAAAAAAGAAGTCTTTCATTTCATGCTCATATATGGAATGCAAGACTTGCTGCTCCAAAGGGAATACGTTGGCATTGAACTTAAGCTTTATCCACTTTTCCTATTGTTTCTTTTCTCTATCTATTTTTACTCTTTTTTAATGAAAGGAAATAAGCCCACTTGTGGGATTATAATGGGTATGTTGTTGTTGTTTGTTGTTGAAAGGAAATAAGATTCCCAATGGTAATTTTGAGTTGACGGATGACTTTATACAAATAACTTGTTTGCTTGTACACTTTCATTCCCATTACACCTGTCTATAAATGGGTTTCTCTTTTAATCACAAACATTGATTGGACGCAATAAGAAGTATTCATGATGCATCAACTTTGAATTTAATGTGACATTGTCTGCTTAGGCTTATTCTTTTTTTTCTCTACATACATTGATGAGAGAGATGGATAGAGCATGTTCTTTTAGCCTTACTAGTCTATCCAACAATCTCAAATGTAAGTATTAAAGCAGATAATAGTGATTCGATACGGTTGGGCTACAAATGGAATTGTGATACACTTTGGTTATGCGTTGTCATAACATAGCTGCATAAGAAGTGTCTCAAACCATTGATCAGCTATAGAGTCACTATTAAGAAGAGTGGACCCCCATGCGTTCGAAACCTGTACCTAAGTGGCATAGCGCAGGGAGCTCGAGCTCAGTGAGCTCCCCAGTAATCACCCAAAAGTGGGTTGCAAGAGTTATTTACAATAAATCATAATTCACCCAAAAGTGGGTTGCAAGAGTTATTTACAAAAAATCATAATTCTTGAGGCAAACGATTAGAGGCTTAGGGGTGGAGGATGTTCTGAGAGTGGCCAATTAATCTGTCCATATCATATTAACAACCTTATCGCATGTGATTGTTCCATCCCATGGGGATTGGGTTCTTAACGAAGAGGCCTTTTATTGGTTACCAATCATTAGCTAATTATGAAGGATTCAAGGAATATCCAGTCTTCTCCTTTTCTGCCACCAACCTATTGATAGCAATACGGAGTGATATACTGTTTCCTATTTCCGTCATTCTGTCCAAGGCAGTCTTTTTCCCCCCTTATCCAGTAAGCTTCTTTTGTTTAATCGCCATTGTAATATATCACAAAGGTATGTAAGGAGTTTATCAGCCAACAGAACGTTATCTACGTGTTACATAACTTACTCCCTCCGTTTCAATTTATGTGACACATTTTCCTTATTAGTTCGTTCCAAAAAGAATGATTCATATTTTTATATTTGGAAATAACTTTTTATTTTACCTATTTTACCCATGGAAAATTTTTATAACAACAACAACAACAAACCCAGTGCAATCCCACACGTGGGGTCTGGGGAGGGCAGTATGTACGCAAACCTTACCCCTATGTTAATGACCCAACAAAGCTTTTAAGACCACAAGTTTCAAAAGTCTTTTTTTTCTTATACTTTATGCCTAATCAAATTACGTCACATAAATTGAAATGGAGGGAGTATGCATCTTAACATCTCTTCACATGCCCGAACCATCTCAACCTCGTTTCCCACGTCTCGTCCACCGCGGAGACCATACCTACCTTGCCCCGATTATCTTCATTTCTAACCATATCCCTCCTAGTATTTGACTGCCATGTGTTCAATGGTCGAAATTTGTATGATCCTCTAAGATCATATGCATTTTATATTTATCCGCTGCATGTTATGAGAGGTTGGAGTAATGATTTATTGTTCTGGCAGTATTTTGATATTTTTTGTTCTTTTCTTGTTATCCTCCTTACCGGAGGCTCAACTTGTATTTTCTTAGCAGCTCTAATGAATCATAAGTATTTCAGAGGGAGAAGCACTCTGTGCTGGGTAATGAGGGAACAGATGTAAAAGCTACGATGAAGCCTATTATATACTTCCAAACATGGAGAGTTGGTAAGCATTGCTTTCGGGTTTGTCCCTTTACAAGTATCTGATCCTTTTTTTTACTGTATTGATGGGNTAAAAGCTACGATGAAGCCTATTATATACTTCCAAACATGGAGAGTTGGTAAGCATTGCTTTCGTTTATCCCATTACAAGTATCTGATCCTTTTCTTTTACTGTATTGATGATGTGAACTTTGAAGCAGGTATTGTATTCTTTGCTATAGGAAATTGTCTCAATTTCATTTCATTTGGATATGCTGCTCAGGTCAGTACTTATTGGTTCTAGTTCTAATTTGTCTTCATATTTCGTGGGCTATATTGACTTTTGGCAAGGGAAGTAGGTAGATTTGAGATAGGGGGAGGGAAGAGGGAAGAGGGAAGAGGGAGAGATTACAACCAACTTGCCCAATGTTGTGTTGGCGTGTAAATTAATGGGGTTAGTGCTTGTAAGGTTTGGGCTATAACCCAACTTACCCAAACTTATTTCTCCTTAATTCTTATCTTTCACTGAATCTCTTTCAGAAAAGGCCCAACATCTGGAGAATAAGAGGGGAAAAAGAATCAAAATAAAATTAAGTGTTCTTGCTCAACATCCACTTCTTTGCATTTTCATTTTCTTTACTTGCCTTTTCATTTTACTGTTATAAAAGGTGTTGAAACAAGCTTGTGAAGGTGTGTGATAGACATTATATTTGGTGAACAAGCCTCATAGGTATTATCTATTGAAAATGATTTCATGTTGTCTAAAAATGATTTTTGATTTACTTATTAAAAAGAAAAGGTTTTTTGATTTAGTTTAACCTCCTTTTTCTTGGTTTTCATTTTTTGTTTCAGAATTTCTACTAACTGATTTCCCATGGTTGAAATGGTGCTTAACTCGAAATTGTTTGTTTAAAAGAAATAAGACAAATAAAATAGATTCTTGCCTTTCTCCTAATTTTATTTTCATAGTTTACTTTTTATTGAAGATGAATATAAAATAAAGAAAAGTTTCCTCTTATTGCTAGTTTTTCTTGGAGGTTGTTCAAACAATTCAATTGGTACTAGAACAGGTACTTGGCTTGAATCTCACCGCCACATGGGTGAAAAATAGAAGTTTATCCCCCTCTTATTGTTTAACCTTTTATATGAGGTAGTGATAATATCCACAAAACCTTACAATTAGCAGGTGGTCGTTGCCAAGTTAAATGAACTATGAGTCCAAGTAGTATTCCCATGAGAAACTAGTTCATTAGAAAGTAAATATTTTTGATGAAGATCAATTAGAAAGTAAATAATAGGTTTATCACAAATATTTGTTGGTTCAAATGATCACTTATTATGAAATCGTTAAGTATACTAATTTTATCTACTAAAACAACCAATTATGCAACTGAAAATAACACTTTAGGACGAAAGCCATGAATAGAAACCTCAGGTTATGAATCCCTTTTCTTCCTAATTGTGGTAGTTTTCAATCTTCTAGCCTTGGGCACGTAACTACTCACACTAATCTGCCAATTATAGAAGAGTCTTTTCGTCAAAGGCTCATTCGAGAGGTGCTTAAGCCCTGAAGGTCAGTAAAGGAAGCTTTGCCTCGCTTAAGTTGCGCTTTTGTGTAGGCAAGGCAATAAGCCATGTGCCTCATTGCCCATGAGTTGTATTTTGAGTAGAAAGGGCAGCCCGGTGCACAAGGTATCCCGCGTTCACACAGGATCCCGGGAAGGGCCTCACCCAAGGGGTGTGAAGTAGACAGCTACCGTAGCATTAATGACTGCTTCCGCGGCTTACCGTTGTTCCAAGGCTCCCCTTCTGTACCTTGAGTAGATCGTTACTAAAGCAAATATAATTGGAAAATAAGTATATGAATTGTTAAGCGAATGAATTTATTACCTTTTTTCTCGAATTGCATATATATTTTTATTTTTTACCTTCATTGCGCCTTTTCTTACTAAAGGCCACACTTTGGTTGCCTTTGAGCTTAAAGCACCAATAGACCTGGAGTGCTTTTTAGAGCTTTTCACCCTTGACAACACTGCATTTAGCATAGGAGGATTAGTTAGAATGCTTTAGTAATAAGCCTAACTCTATGGATATGCAGGATGGAAGGATATCTTCCGACTCTCAGTCACAAATTAACCTAAGTAGCTCAATTAATTAGTTAATCTGGCGTTGTTCAATATGAACTGATTTGAGTTCCCGTCCCAACGTCCTATTCAACCTATTATGGACACCCTACTTGTTGATTAGACTAGTAGAAAAAATACAAAGCAAGATTGAACAAATGAACATTCATCCAAGAATAACAAGAGTGGAAGAATCATATTAGATTAACAAAAGCATTTGTGGTTCATCACAATCCTTGCTAGGACGGTTAGTTATAATTCATATTCAAGAACAATGCAAAACATAGATAGATAAAACTATCCATGAAAGGATATGAATAAAAAGAATAAGATTCAGGGAAAACAATATATCTTAGTCTTCAATCAGATAACTCTCCTAAGGTTGTGTTCTTTGCGTTGAAAGGAATCCCAAGGGTTGTTCTCCATCAAATGCTTAGATTTTAAGAATCAAAAGATGACTATTTAAAGCTTAGGGTTAAAAAGTTGCGGTCACAGTCACACCGGTAAAAAAGAAAAAGGAAAAAAGAAAGGAGAGTTGCGGTCGCAATTACCATCGCGGTTTGAACACTAGCTCAAATCAATTTCAGCACTTCAATTTGGCAGTCGGGAGTTAAGGTGCCGCAGTCGCTGCAGTACTTGGAACTCTTATCTCAGTTGGACTTCTTTTTCTCTCTCTCTTCTATTCGTCATTTTTTATTTCCATCTTGCTTTCTCATTACCACTTCTCATCTAATCTTCTTCCTATGCATAAACACACAACCATGAGATTTATCCAAAAATTAATCGAAAACGACTAAAGAATAAGTGCAATTGATACTTGATAGGGGAATTGCCACAAATATTATGCAAAATATCACACTTATCAGGTGGTTCACACAATTCAATACAATTTGCTTGTATTTTGACTAATCTATGAAGTAAATCATGCATAACTTAATTTACATTGATGTAGCATAATGGTAAAATCTTAATATGGATAGCTTCTTAGTTCTTAGTCGTTATTCAACACACGTGAGTGAACTTAGTACTTATGTTGCTACTTTTAGAAAAGTAAAGAAAAGAATAAAAAGAAATTGGTCTAAACAGAAATAGGGCTTTAGTTTTTTCTTTAACTGACAGGTTTACAAGAAGTCCAGCGGTTGGGTACCAGCATATAGCCAGTTGGACTACAGGGATGTAACCTGTTCGGTGTACTAGTGACTACAAGGATTGGGTGTACCATCAAGGCTAATATTTCGCTCCCATCCCTGATTTGGTCACCTTCCCAGCCCATCAAACATTTTGCTGGTCAGGTTGATTACAATAGAAGGATCAAAGATTGATACTGCTGCAGTTATTCTCCTGCTCATCTCTTTGCGTGACAAATTATCTGTTGGCTTTTACACAGTATCAGTGCATTAGCAGCAATGTTTACCTTTCTTTGATGATGTATATTTTTGTTTTTTCCCTTCATCATCGTGGCATTTCCTTTTCGGCAGTCACTTCTAGCAGCTTTGGGATCTATACAATTTGTCTCAAACATCGCCTTTGCCTACTTTGTTTTGAACAAAACAGTGACAATCAAGTAAGCTAACATTTAAACTTCTTCTATCAAAATCAATAAGGATCTGAGTCTAAACTACCTGCAATTCAGAGAATTGATTGTTGATTTATAGTACTTCCTCTATTCCAATTTAGATGACACTTTTTCCTTATTAGTCCGTTCTAAAAAGAATGACACATTTCTGCAATTGGAAATAATTCAACTTTAAACTGTTCATTTGCTCCATTTTACCCTTAATGAAAAGCTTTTATAACCACACAAATGTCATGGCCCACAAAGCTTTTACCTCTTAAGCTTTTAAGACCACAAGTTTCAAAAGTCTTTTTTTCTTCTTAAACTCCGTGCCGAGTCAAACTACCTCATCTAAATTGAAACGGAGGGAGTAATTATTATCCTTGTTATACAAGCTACAGTCTGATAATATCTTTCGCATTGCAGAGTATTGGTAGCTACTGCCTTTATTGTTCTTGGAAACATCTTTCTTGTAGCCTTTGGCAACCACCAGTCACCTGGTATGTGATGGAAGGTGAAGATTGTTGTTTTTGTTATTATATCTTTGTTTTACCATGTGTCGTTTATAATTGTCCTATATCATGACTGTAAAAAAGATTGGGTGTCTTCCACAGAGTGTCATATTTGTAGAGTATCATATCTTTTCTAGGTTCTCTCAATATTGGTATACTACTTGTATATGGGAGTTGCTCCCAGTATAAATAAATTTTTTTACCTTGTAAGAAAAATGTCTCATGCCATGAAAATCTTCGGGTTTAACGCAACCGGAAAAGTTAGATTATGAGGTGAGGATTGTTCAAAATCATATGAAGAGCCCATTTCCTCAGCCAATGTGGGACACTTCAGAGTAAATGGGGATGCTAAGAATTTTTTCAAACAATAGAAAGATGTCATTCTTGAAGACATACTAAAAAGAAAGTGTGTCACATAAAATGGGATTCAGGGAGTAACTTTTTAACATATTTCAAACTTTGCATATGTACAAGCATATGCTCCGGTTTCTTGTAATGCATGATTGTTATATGCTTCATTACCTTATGAAAAACCAAACAAAAAAAAAGAACAAAAGATTGTTACATGCTCCCAACAGATTATAATTTATTAGCTTCCTTTGTTTGTAGTTTACACGCCGGAGCAGTTGGCTGAGAAGTACAGCAACATTACGTTTCTTCTTTACAGTCTCACTTTGGTCTTAGTTGTTGCTTTACATCATTCAATATACAAGTAAGTCATGATGGTACAGTCAATAATTTCTGCACATTCTTTTAGTATCAAGTCATAGTATATTGTTTATGTAATGTGCCAAGTTACGCTGACTTCTAAAAACTTAGCCTGCTAGAAGTAATGTACTTGGGATATATTCCTTCAAAGTAAGTTTCATGTGAAAATGAAAACCATTGGCTATAAATTGTGCCGCTTGCTCCTTATGTTGTCTCTCCCGCCTTCCTCTTGCGCATCAACTTGTTCTTCGTTCTCCAAGCATACTTATTCCTGCCACAGCTAAAGTGACTACTATAAGAATTGCTATGTACCCCTTCCTATTCTTCATGGCTATAATTATACTCAAATAACTACTTAAGTGAGAGTATTTCTACTTTTATAAATCAGGTTCACAGGGGATTGCTCTTAGTTGTTTTATATGTTCAATGGAGTTAAGTGCCCAGGAAACTAGTTTAAATAGACAAAGTGAGCCTTAGCTGATACCTTCAGGGGCTAAGTTTAATATTCTACATTTTGATAATCTTTACTGAAAAGATTGCTCTCCTTCACAACATATCATTTGGTTCCATTCTTAAATTTCATAACCAATCAAACCAGAACCAATAAAATGGGCAGTGGGAGTAAAAATTAGCAGGAATTACAGGGTCACCGTTGCATTTAGAGGCACGTATACTGGTAAATGTAGAAGTGGACGCTAAGGAGCTGTTTGGTCAGAAGTTTTTAGAAAGAGAAACTCTCCCTTCTCTCTAGATTCTCCCTGGTTTCAGAAATACAATGCTCTCGACAATCGAACTGCTTATTTCTGGACTGATACAAATTTTCCAAGTAACACGAGACTTTTTTTTGGAGTGAAATATCATTAAAGGCATCCATTGCGGCAGACTGTCCCATCCTATTGACCAGTTGAAAATTTCCTCTGATGAGGTTGTCCTGAGTGAGGCATGCCCCTTTTAGCGCAGTCCAAATGAAGCGTGATATCTTTGGGGGGAGCTTGGTTTTCCAAACTAATTTCCAGTGCCATAGATTGACCATCATCTTATTAAAGCTCAAATGTAGCCTGCTGTTGACTGTGTAAATACTGCTGTAACTCCATTTCAAACTGTCTCCAACCTGATTATCAATGTTGCAATTCTCCAGATTTTTATGCAAAGTCGAGAGATCTTCTATTTCCTACTCGTGTAAGTTCTTCCTTAGGTTAAGTTCCAGGAGTTACCATCTCTGTGCTGAGAAATAGAAGAGTTTTGGTATCTGGCTATGCTGAGTAGGTTTGGAAAGCTTTCTTCAGTGTGGAATCTCCTATCCATTTGTCTAACCAAAATCTAATGTGATTCCCATCCCCCTACCTCAAAGTGAGTGTTCGTGAAGAATTCCCCCCATAGTTTATTTATGGTCTTCCACAATCCAGTTCCATGCGCTAGTCTGGTTGGTTTGGTACACCAGTGAGTGCTACTGCGATGTTTAGCCATAGTTACCTCCTCCCGTAGACCCTTGATTAAACCTCCAGTGCCACTTCATAAGCATGCACTTAGCCACTTACCATGTATAGCAAGATCTTTGATACTGAGGCCACCAAAAGCTTTAGGGAGAGTGACTTTGGATCACTTCACCAGGTGTAATTTGTGTNGAAGAGACATACACTGTTGATCCTTCCTCCTAATGAGAGATACTGTTTTTGCCATGTAGTAAGTTTTCCCCCAAATTTTCTACAACCCTATTCCATATTTCAGTCGACTTGTGTTTGACACTCAAAGGAAGGTCCAAATAAGTGGATGGAAAGCAACCAACATTGCAGCACATGATAACCAACTCCACTAGATCAGGTACCATATTAAGAGGGTAAATTACACTTTTCAGCATGTAATATGGAGACCAGACATTGCTTCTAAAATCATGAGGGTGAGGTTTAGGTATAGAACTTAGGTTTTTTCAGCACCATATAAAAAATGTGTCATCTGCAAGAGTAGATGTGAGATAGACACAGAGTTAACACAACTATTTCCTATCCTGAAACCCTCGGGCCACAGTATCTGCTTGGATTTTTCTAGCATACAGCTAAGCCCCTCCATATCAAGGATGAAGAGGAAAGATGAAAGAGGATCGCCTGTTTGATTGCTCTCATAGGAAAAAAGAAACCTACTGAACTTCTGTTCATAAGGATAGAATACTTGACTATACATGTTGTATCTTATCCATCTAATCCACTTTTACCCAAAGCCCATCTTCCTGAGTATTGAGATTAAGAATGCCCAATTTAGCTTGTCAAAGTCTTTTTCAATGTCAAACTTGAATAGGAGACTTGCTTCCCCATTTTTCTCCTTCCAATTCAGGACTTCATTAGCAATGAGTAGCATCTATGATTTGCCTGCCTTTAATACAATCATTTTGGTACCCTGAACCTGAAACCAGTTTTCTAATTATCCTTCCGTCTTTCAGCCAGCACCTTATCTGTGATTTTGTAGAAACTGACAATAAGGCTGATAGGTGATAGGTATGTAGTCACTGAGTGCTGGCTCCCTTTCTTTTTGGAGCGAGGGCAATGAATGAAGCATTGAAGGACTTTACCATGTGACAGTTGTGATGAAAGTGATTGAGGGCTCCAAGCACCTCATATTTGACTATGTCCCAATTCTTATGATAAAATGCCATTGTAAAACCATTAGGTCCGCAAGCTTTATCAGGAGTACATGAGTTGATAGCAACTAGCACTTCTTCCTCACCAAAGTCTGTCTCTAGATCCTCCCTTTCTTCTACTGCTAAACATCCCATCCCTTTAAAAGTGGCTGTAGGTCTCCAGCTTTCATCCTGAATGAAGATTCTGATAGAAGTTGAGAATTTCTTCCTTGATGAGTTCTTTATCTTCAATAATCTACTCCCCCACCAATAATTTCTCAATGTTAATATCTTCTGAAAGAATTTGGTGTTTTTGTCACCATCCTTCAACCACAAATACCTAGATTTTTGTCTCCATGAGACTGCTGGATTTCCACTTTAAAGTTCATAATTTGAGTTTTTTCCTCCTGGGTTTGCATTCATCCTTAGGTAGCTTGTTCAAATAGGAGGAGTTCATCCAATGCTTTGCTTGCCCTGATTTCCACCTTGAGAAAAAAGCTTCTCTGTTAGTTAATTGGAATTATTTGAGACAACTGAGAATTTGAAGACAAATTAATAGGGAATATGGAGTAGTCTGCTCCCAGGAAACGGATATCCTTCTAAGCATCTCAGCAGTACAGAGCATGATGTTAAAATTTGAAAAACAAGGAATCATGATTTGTCATGTTTTCTGTAGACCTATATTGGAAAAAGAGGATCCTTATCTTGGTAGTTCTTGCAAATCTAATGTTAATCATGCAGGAGAGGAGAATTATTGCTTGCTGTACCGATGAATGAAAATAAGCCCTGTTGGCGCATGCTGCTTCCATTTTCATATGCAGTTGTTTCAGGTGCTGTTGGATCATGTTCAGTATTGTTTGCAAAGTCTCTGTAAGTGGCATACATGGTTCTTTGCCTTCTGATGGAAGAGCTGGATCTTATACATTTGACCCTGGTTACTTCTGTTTTGTAGTTCAAACATGTTAAGATTGTCCATGTCAAGTGGTTATTCATTGCACAGCTGGTTCACGTATTCCATGCTCCTGTTGTTTCTTAGTACAGCTGGGTTTTGGGTAATAGAATGATGGACTTGTTCGTTGCATTGTCATTCAATTGTTGTAATATTGAATACTTGAACATGTGTTTCTTTAACTGATTCTGTTCTCGAATTTATTATTGTCGCAGATGGCAAGGTTAAATGAAGGACTTTCGTTCTTTGATGCAATACTTATCGTCCCTATGTTTCAAATCGCTTGGACTTTTTTCTCCATTTGTACAGGATTTGTGTACTTTCAGGAATACCAGGTTTGCTCTTTCTCCAGTGTGTACGGAAGGGCATGTGCATCTCCTCGCTTTTTCGCCCTTTCTAAGATGAATGTAAAGAATGAGAAAAGGATAGATTCTGAGAATAAATTGCTTGATTGTTTTCTCAAGTATGTTGGAGTTTAAATAGTTTTTGCAAGTAATCCTAAAAGGAAAGAAAAATAATTCCTATTTTTAATTACACAGTTATAAGGATTCTAAACCTTTCCCATATTTACAACGAATGAGCTCTTGCCATACTAATAATTTCTCGATTGGTAACTCTCTGTCAAGTTGGAGTGTACATATTTTATGCTTTTTTTTTTTTTTTAATTTTTTATTGTATGGTCTTAATATGCCACTAATACACTAAATTGTGGTGCGACGTGACTTTGTCAGAATACCTGCTAATTGTTCACTCGGTTTGATAAAAGCTGTCGAAGTGCACCTTTGACTCAAACTTTTGCCGAATGAATGACAATTTACTTCTCTATGCTTTGTTCTCTCATGAAATACCGGGTTTAGAGCAATGTGTATTGCAGCTTGATTGTCACAGATCAATTGAGTTGGTGCATCTCCTCCACGCCTCAACTCTTTAAGAAGTTGCTTTAGCGACATAAGCTCACATGTAGCCTAAGCCATTACTTGGTATTCTGCCTTTGCGCTTGATCTAGCTGCTACATCTTACTTTTTGCTTTTTCGGTGCAATAGATTTCCTCCTATAATAAGACCACAGTTCTGGTTATAAAAAAAAATAAGACCACAGTTCTAATTACACAATTATTTGGATTCTAAACCTTTCTCATATTTATAAGAAGTTGTTTCAACATTGAACTTTTCAAGTGAGTTTACAGACGAAAAACTAATACATTTTGAATTTACACAGGTATTTGATGCTTTAAGAACAACAATGTTCATTCTTGGAATGATTTCTGTGTTTGTGGGCATTTCTTTGCTAGCACCAGATGAGTCAAAAGGTATTGCTACTTTTGATCTCAGGTTCTCGGTAATAAAATGTGCCTAGGGCATGAAAGACTGAACAGTAATATCTGCAGGAGGTGAATTGAAGGATGGTTCTTTAGTTTCAAAAACTTCAAATTCTTCGCAGGATGAGGAGAGGTATGTAGTGACCTTATTTGGCAGACGTTGTCTTTAATTCCTAATGGTTAAAAGTGCTTAGCAATATGACCTTTATTTCCTAATTGCTGCCTTTTCTATTGGTAAATGTGCACATGCCAGGCTGTTCATGCAATCTGAAGACTCCCAAATTAAGGATATAAGATCATTTGGACGAGTTATGCTGATGAAAACTGCTAATATGATTGTCAAGGCAAAGGTTCTGTGTTTGTTTGTATTCCCTATTCCACGAAGGAGATTTCATGCTTACAAATCTAAAGGGTATACTTCCTGCAGGCTGCATGTTCAGTATCACTAGGCTTCGGGGAAGACTCGCTTCATGCATCTTCAGTGCTGGTGATGCCCATGGTCTCGTCGAAAATAACAGGCTTCCGAGGAGGTGGTCTTGATCGGGCTAAATTATTATCTGCTCGAGGCCCAGGTTGGAGCAAATTTGCAGTTGATGAGGACGGTGAGACAATCCTGGAGACAACTGCAATGCTGCCCCAAGGTATCAACTTGGACTAGGAGAGCGTGGCATTGATTTGTAGAGACCGACATGACAATGGTGGTTATTTCTTTGCCTTTATGGAGAATATTCAAGAGTGTCTTTACATCCCACTTATTTTGTGTATGCTTAATTCCACTCGTAGTCCAATATAAGGCAGCAAGGCGCTGGGTTGGGTTGGGGAGGGGAACAACAAATATGTTAGAGGTAGAGCTAGTAGCCTGATTTGGAAGGGGATTATAGTATGTTGACGAAAGCACTGCGTTAGAGTGTTCATTTCTCTTTCATTTTTTTAATAGAGGCAACTAATGATAATCTTATAAATTGTTTTTTGTAGTTTACGACAAACTACGCTGGACTGTGAGGCAAGATTTGGATACTTCTGCACTAGCTGCTGGCAGTTGATAGTTTGAGATAGTGTGATTGTTTTTCTAGTGTAAATAATGTTTTGGTTTCCTGTCTGGTGCATGTGATTCTGGCTGCCACCTGATCAACTGCATAACCCTTAAAAGAGATGATTCTTTTAGAAATATGAACTCTAGATATACTAAGGTCAAGAATTTCGATTAATTGGTAGGAGTGGGGTGGGACAATTAATAAAAACACAAAACTGCTTGTCTAGAATTACATTTATTTATATGCGTGTTGTACGGAAAAATAGTAGCAAGTTCAGATGTGACTTTGGTAGTTCACTAGGCACCGCCCACATTTATATTAAATGAACCTTTTTCTCTGCCTAAAATATTTTTTTCCTTTAAAATTGTTCATGTGAACCTTTTAGAAATCAAAGTTCAATCTTTTCTAAATTATTATATCATTTTAATACTACTATCTGTATTTTAATCAAACACTGTAGTCCTCCAGCTAACGCAGTATAGTAGAAGTTTAGAGGTGACAAACGGTCGGGTCGGGTTAGATATGGGTGAGTTGAAAATAATGTAAAACGGATAAAATATCTGATCTGACTTGTATTTGATACGGAAATGGATTGACCGACGAATAATATGGATGTTCATGGCTTCTTGAATATGATCAGTTTTGGGAGAATTTTTAATCTCTCAAATTTGAAGAACCCCCAGTTTGAGCCTTTGCAAATATAAAAGTTGAACTCATTAGCTATCTATATTTTTCTCACTTTTTAAAAACTTCATTATCCAACCCATTTTTAATAGATAATACGGAGGGAAACTACTTTTTTAATCCATTTTGCCACTTGTAGAACGACCAGCTTCAAAGCTTACCTTATCTAATTATGTACTGACAAACCAAAATGTTACAGGGCCGATAAATTGTTGGTTGCAGACTTGCAGTTCATTTTCTTTTGTCAAATTGCTAACAGTCGGAAAAAATCATACTCTCTACATTGTTAACTTTTGCGTAGCGGATTATCTTCACATTCATTGGCTTTCTAGAGTTTGATTTAATAAAAATTGAACAAGTAAAAAAAGGGAAGTCATAGGAAATTTTTTACAGATGCACAATTCATTAGCTCTCCAGTACATTGGCATATACAATATTAACACCTGATGGCTAGATTATGAATTATAACCAAGAAAAAAAGATTTCTTAATGCATACCAATTGTTCTAGACAGTAAAATTAAACTGGACAAAATTTTACCCTAAGCCAGCCCTTTACTCTCTCCTCTCACCAATACACCCTTAAAAAGGTGGATCCTTTAGTGCAAATTCAGACATTAGATAAGAAAGTCTTAAAACCAAATAGTTGACTTTGGAAAGTAAAATTTGTGGAATAATTGTTATCCTCCATTTTATTTCTCCTTTTATGATTCTTTTACCCTACTTACCAATTACCATAAATGGGCCATCAGTGCCTTGTTGATATGTTGTATATTACAGAATTAATCTCTATAGTACAAAATTGGGGATACTGTACATTGGTACAAAGAATGCATAAATTTTCCACGGACTTTGAGACTCATCGAGAAGGAAGATGGCTGCATTCCAGGACAAAACTCAACTTATATAGAATGACGGTGCCGCAGTTTCAATACCATTGAGGCAATTGCTCAACTTTCAAGTAAAATTTGGTGAATTGCGATGTCCATCAGCAAATTCTCTGACTAAACGCTTCAGAATTCTCCCCCCTTTACCTTGCATATGCCCATAATCACTTGTTCCCCCAACATTACGTCTGCTCTCAATATAGTCTGAAGCAGCAGCAGCAAGTGCCTTCATCCAAAGAGGAACCAAAGACTCTACTTCCCCCTGCTTTAGGTACTCAGCTGGTAAACTCTGTACCTGGAAAACGATTATGATCACACAAAAGAATGTCTTGATACAACTTTTCAAAAACGAATATTTCAATGCAATTCTCCGAACTTACTGTAGTAGCTGGAAATAATACAATATATCTGGAGAAGGAAAAAAATTAACCTACTAATGAAGTTAAAATAAGTGACAGACAGCATACAGAATAAAGCTAATATGTAAAATACCATAATAGTTATGGAAGGTCTGAACAATATGGCCAAAACTGCAAAAATTAATGGATGAATTAAAGGCTTTGAGGTAGCAAGAATTGGAAACAACAACCTGGAGATTACACATCTTCAATATGCTGATGACACCCTAATTTTTTGTGATGCAAAAGAGGAGCAGTTGAGATATTTGAGGATTATCCAGGTTTTGTTTGAAGGTATCTCAGGACTCCACATCAATTGGAAAAAGAGCCACCTTTTTCCAATTAATGTAGTACCTGAGATGGAGCAACTGTTACTAATACTGGGAGATGTACGAGGATCCTTTTCTGCTATCTATCTTGGCATGCCTCTAGGTGCTAAGTCTAAGTCCAAGGAGATATGGAACACAATCATTGAAAAATGTGAAAAGAAGTTAACCAGATGGAAAGCACACTATCTATCTATGGGAGGAAGACCAGCGAGGCGAGACGCAGGGTTAGCGCTTTTCTGCTAAAAAGGCGACTCACATTCAAAAAGCGTGCGCTTTTCTCGCTTAAGCGAGAAGCAAGCCGTTAGAAAAAGCGTGCTTAAGCGAGCAGAAGGCATCGGCTAGTTTTTTTTTTTTAAATTTTTTTGGCAAATAAACCATCTGTGAACAAACAACATACGCGACTTCTTCTCCAGCGAACTCCAGCGACGACCACTGCTGCTCCAACGACTTCTTCTCCAGATCTCGGTAAGTTTCTTCAACTTCTTCTTCTTCTTCTTCTTCTTCTTCTTCTGTTCTTCTTCTTCTTCTTCTTCTGTTATTCTTATTCTGATTTTTTTCACTTTTTAAGCGCTCATTTTGTGCCTTAAATGACTTCTTCTTCTTCTTCTGTTATTAAAAGTGCTCTGTTTTATGCTGTTGTATGCTCTGTTTTCTGCAATTTATGCTCTGTTTACTGTTTTCTGCAATTTATCAGTGAATTAATTGTTATTTTTTTTGGTTGTTGATTGTAGTAAATTTAATTTGATTATTCAATGGCATCAAGCCATTTGCTTAATATGTTATTTTTAATGAGTCTTAGCCATTTATCTATGCCTATTTTTTTTATTTTATTTATGTGTTAAATTGCGCTTCACATGAAAAAAGCACTTCGCTTCGCTTCGCGCTCCTGTGAAGCGAGGCCTCGTTGCTTTTTTGCGCTTAACGCTTTCCAAAACACTGAGGAAGACTGATTTTGATCAATTTAATACTTGACTCACTTCCTACATATATGATGTCACTTTTTCCCATCCCTGAAAGTGTCATTCAAAGACTGGATAGACTTAGAAGATTTTTTTTCGGGCAAGGAAACAAAGAAAAAAGGGTGTTCCATTTAGTGAAATGGAAATCTCTCATTATTGGCAAAGACAAAGGTGGGCTAGGCATCCGAAATTTGAAGAATCAAAGCAAGGCCCTTAAGATGAAGTGGTTATGAAGATTCTCTCAAGAACCTCAAACCTTCTGGAGTAATGTCATTAAAGCTAAATATGGAGAAGAAAACAATTGGGTATAAAAGAAGTCAACACAACATATGGGGTCAGCTTATGGAGATCTATTAGAACACTTTGGCCTACAACGAAGGCCAATCCTACATCAAAGTGAAAAATGACACCAAAACCTCCTTCTGGAAGGACAACTGGCTGGGATCTGGAAGTTTGATGGAACTCTTCCCTGATATGTATGGCTTAACTCAACACCAACAAAAGACTATCTGAAATGTGGTCTCCTCAAGGTTGGGATCTGATACTTAGAAGAAGAATGCTAAATGATTGGGAACTGACTAGATTGACAGAGTTGTACAAGCAACTGGAAGTCTTCAAAGGCCTTCGGAATGGAATGGATTCACTGTGGTGGAAGGGCCACAACACAGGCATCAATAAGGTGAATGTTGCATACAAGATTCTTAATCACACTAATCTACAGATTACTAATTAGCCATGGAAGCATATCTGGAAAGTCAAGATACCTTACAAGGTATCTTGTTTCACTTGGTTACTAGCAAAGGAGGCAGTTCTGACCCAGGATAATCTCATAAAGAGAGGGATCCCACTGTGCTCTAGGTGCTTTCTATGTGGGGAAACAGCTCTAAGATTACTCTCTAGGTGCTTTACACTACAGGATTACAGATCAACTATGGAAGATATTTATTAATCTCAGAGGTATCTCCTTGACAATGCCCTCTAAGATTACTGAAGTGCTTACTAGTTGGGATGAAGCTGGAACTGGAGCTGGAAACAGAGATAGATGGAGGACTGTCCCTGCATGTATACGGTGGACAATCTGGAAGGAGAGGAACTCTAGGTGTGTAGAAGATCAAACTGAATTGTGTTCTTTTTTATTTTTCGTGTAAATAAAAGTCGCCAGAAGATACTGTATCAATCCTAGAAGTTTTAAAATACTGCTAGGATTGTAGATCAGTTAGTCTTTCCTTTTGTTCTTTTGTACATATGGTTTCAGTACAACCTATGTACTGTTATATATTAATACACACAAATGTTGCCATCTAAAAAAAAGAAGCATAAAATATAGAATTAACAAAAGCTGACCATTTCATTAGCTTATATAAGTGCTTCCAGAATAACAAGCTTCCTTCAAGATGGTTTGGGCATGTGAAGAGGAGAAGCACAAAAGCTCGAGTGAGGAGGTGTGAGAGGTTGGCCTTGGTTGGTCTGAAGAGAGGTAGAGGTAGGCCAAAGAAGTACTAGGGAGAGGTAATTAGGCAACACTTGGCGTTGCTCCAGCTCACTGAGGACATGACTCTTGATAGGAAGGTGTGAAGGTCGAGAATTAGGGTAGAAGGTTAGTAGGTAGTCGAGCGTGTGTCTTCCCCATACTGGTAGTATTAGTAGTTAGCCTTGTATTCGGTTATTGATAATCTTTATTACTACATTTTTTCTTATTATCTTGTTGTTGATACTGCTTGTCTCCTTATTATCTTGTTGTTGTTACTGCTTGTTTTCTTATTAGTTTGCTGATGGTATTGTTGGTTGTTACTGCTTTTTTTTTCCTTGAGCCGGGGGTCTACCGGAAACAACCTCTCTACCCTCAAGGTAGGGGTAAGGTTTACGTACATACTACCCTCTCCAGACCCCACCCGTGGGACTATACTGGGTTTGTTTTTGTTGCTTCCTTCAAGGAAGTTTACTGAAGATCAATGTCTCAATTATTGTAGAAGAAAAGCAATTTATTGAGTGCATGAACAGCAGGAT